GTTTTCTTTATAAGTTACCTACTTCGGCTTTAATGTTAGTACAGAACATCTGTACTCTAGCACCACTGGAAGTGTTTTGTCTGTCATGTTTGCCTTGTTACTCAGTAATATTGATATGTGTGCACAGATACTACAATGACAGTAAGCACAGGAAGCTAGAGGAGTTCCGCTCCAGCAGAGACCATCGGCCGGACATAAAAGATCATTCCCATTCAGACCACCGCTCTTCCTACCGCTACCATTCAGACTGGCAGACAGAGCAACGAGCCTCAGCCAGCGGGCCCCGCTCTCCCCGAGACCAGCGCTCACCCTATGAGTCCCGTTCGCCCATTGGACACCGCTCACCCTTCGACTACTCGTCAGACCACAAGAGCACACCAGAGCAGATCTGGAGTAGCCGCAAGACATAACAGGAGCTGCCTCGGTCTGCTAGTAGCAGCCATAGACTCAGCAACACAGCAAATGCCTTACAGGGACTGTGGACTCCAACCTGAAGCTGTTTGAAGCACTGTGTATCAGTCAGTTCAGCATGGCTGTCATCTCCTCGCTTCAGCTGCAGCTCATCTCGGGAACCTGGGAAATAAACGCCAGGGAGCAGCTCAAACCAGGCAGCAGATAAAAAATCAAAGCATATTTTTGTATTTAAGAGTTTAAAGCTGCATTGTTGTGTAGGCTCAACAGCGCGCAGCACACTTTTTTTGTTATTTTTATAAACTTTTTTTTACTCTGGAAATGGACACAATTGACCCTGAGTGCTGCCTCATATTCCCACCAACCCACGACACTGGATCCTGTATTTGACTGTTTCTCTATGTTCGTCTGTCTGTCTCTGTCTCTATCATGCTTAATGTGATTATCTACCTTATTTAAGTGTTAACTCGATGAGAAGTCAGTTGTCACATAAATCACATTACAAGTTGATTTAAAGGTGTCTGGTTGAATCCGGTCTGGGCTCAGGCTCACCACCTTAAGTACCTCATTTACAGCATTTCTCATTTCCTCAGTAGGTTTTCTTTTTCCACCAGGTGTGAATTATTTAATAACATATCATAGCTGTAAAAAAAAAAAAAAATAACCTGGATTTTTTGGAGCGACTTGTATCATGTTTTTTCCCTTCAGTAATCCTGTTGTAAATTTTTGTAAAATAGTAAATCAGTGGTCTTTTTCCTCAGGCTTTTGGGATTTATTATGACTCTACTTTTCCCCATCAACTCAGGCTTTTTTGTCGTTCTACGAGTGAGTTTCTGTATAATAATTCTTTCATGATAATGCTTTCAGAATGTAATTTTTGGTAAAGGGAAAGTTCTGTAATGATACTCAGTTTTATTCACTAGTGCTTAGTTCTTTTGCCTCAGTGTGTCAAATTCAGTGAGTTTGAAGGAACTGACTTTTAAAATCAAAGTCTGAAAAGGACAGTTGTCTTTCAATAGAAGCACCTGTTAGATCTTAAATAAACTAGACTTTTTACATATTTTTGTTTCTTTACCTTTGATTTTATTTTCTACGTAGGCAATAATGTCAATGTTTCTATGCAGCCAAGTATATTTGTGGTGAACCACCCACCTGAATGAAGTCACTGTTACGGTTCACATTGTTGTACATAAATTTCTTCTATATTTCAAAATGAATTTACACTGAAAGTGCATGAATTTTTATGAACTGTTTTATATAGTTGTTTATGAAGCCATTAAAATCAATCACTGTACTCACTCGTACCAACTCTCTTCAACAAAGTGTCCACTCTTTCATTCTGCCAGAGGTTCGTTGATTTTATCACTTCACCTCTAACAAAGCTCTAGCCGATGTTTGCAATCACTGCAAATTTTGACTTTGCCTCAGTGGTGACCCTATAGGGGGCACCTACAAAAGCCACTGCAGAAAGGCTAACCGTTTGTTAAACAGTGATCCATTGATTGTACCTAGAGTATGAGTATTAGGGTGACCTGATGTTACACTTTATGTGGGACTGCACAGCATTTTTATTGTCTGACCCGCATGATGTCGCATTTTGATTGGCTGTAGTTTTCAGAAGGTGGGTTAACGGATATATTTAACTAGTCTGTCATTGGAATAATGTGTGCTATGGAACCTTGAACTGAATTAATCCTCGTTCTATTAGGGGCTCAGTATCTTGCTCAAGGACACTTCGACTGGCCTGGAGGAGCCAGGAATCAAACCAGCAACTCTTCGATTACTATTACCCGTTCTGTCATATGAGCCACAGAGGAAGAAAGTTTATTTTTCTAAAACCTGAACAGCACATTGTAGTGTTTCTTCAGGAGACATATTTATCCTCAGACAAGGCTAAAAACCAATGTATGGATTGGGTGGGCTGTACTATGGAGTCTAGCCAAAGTCAGGGGTCATAACACTGATTTAAACATTTACAATTTAAGCATTAAAGGGGATTAAAGAAGATTGCTACAGGACAGGCTCAACGAAGATGTCAAATACTGCTGATGGTTGGGAAAATGAGACCCTGGGTGTTCTAGATGTGCGTGTGAAAAGGGAGAACTAATACGTTTTCTCCTCTTTGCATAAAACTTTTTTCATTTTCTAGATTTCTACATCTCTTCTGCAATTAGTTACGTGTTGACACAAATGCCCAAATTGAGGTTAACTCTTATATGTGAGAACGGGTTTAAGAAATATAAATTAACTCCACAGATTGTATTCACACATTTTACACAATTAAACTGAAATACCACTATCACTCTTCTCCACTAGGGGCCGCCACAGGGTAATCAATGATAAATAACAATAGTAGCTAGTCACACATCTTTTTAAAAAGTGGTCAAATATACAGCAACCTAATATGCACAGGCTCATCCCCATGTTCCCAGGAATGTGTGTCTCTTGATATAAATTTACATTATATGAGATGGGTAAGGCCTGTCAGCAGTTCAGAGAAGAACGAAGGGAGAAGACATTTTCAAATGCAGTTTAAATGATATAAATCTGTTAAGCGGATGTGGAGATATCCATTCTTAAAGCTGCAGTATGTAACTTTTAAAGTCATAAAAAAGGAAAAGAAGGACGTTGTATAATAATGGTATTTTACAAAGTCAAAGTCAGTTGTATTGACTTTATGATGATCCAAGCCTATTAACTCGTATCCGTATAAGTATGATATTACTCCCACTTCCGGAGGTAAAGGTCCACCTTATTTAGTAACCTGAATGACAGATTTTGTAGGGCAGCTGGTTTGTCCTGCTGGATGTACCACAGAAAGCCTACAGCTTTTTTTCCCCAATTCATGTCGATGAGCCTCATCATCAGGCACACTCTGTGTAACCTGGAAGGGGCCCAATAGACTCTGTTTTCAATACCCTGGACATTTTTTGGAATTTCAAAGAATTAAGATCCAATCTCCCTCCATGAAATCAACACTGCAGTCAGCTTCCCATGTTAATCTCAGGGATGACAAGTCACTGACAAAATGAAGAAGCAGCATAGAGTAATAGGCTGCGGTGACCTTTTCTGAAAATGCAGTGTTAGACACCAGATGTCCACACGGAGTCGAGCCGAAGGTCTGTATCAGCAGATGCCTCAACTGAAGGGATCTCCAAAACTGACTCTGTGGGATATCAAATTGCTGTTCAAGATTTTCAAATGATCTCAATGTTCCCTCTTCATAAAGTTCACCTAAAACCTTGATTTTGATTTAGGGCTTCCAAAAAATGGTGCTTTACCAATACAAAGCTTTAGAATGAACCAGATTCCTGCATGTGTAGGTGGGTTATTTCAACATACCGACCCAGGGGAACATACACTGAACATTTGACATATATGATAAACATAGCTGAGAACAGAACCCTTTGATAGGTCCTTTAGTGTCATATTATGAGGAAATTGAACCATAGACAGTCACATATCTGTAATCATATTTATATTAAGCCATGTACAGTATGATGGTAAATGGACCTGTACTTGTATAGCGCCTTTCTAGTCTTCCAACCACTCAAAGCGCTTTTACGCTACATGCCACATTCACCCTTTCTTGTTTCATGATGGCAAAGCCCATCCAACAGAAATGTACACATTCATACACATTCACACACTGATGCACAGCATCGGGAGCTTCAGTATCTTGCTCAAGGATACTTTGACATGTGGCAGGAAGACCCGGGGATCGAACCTTACGATTAGGGGACGACCCGCTCTGCCTCTGCACCACAGCCACCTTACACTTTTATTTTTGGTATCCGGTGGTGGGGTGGAAATTTGGGTGCACCCACAAACTTTTTCATGCTGAATGACTATATCCTGACAGTAGTACATGAGACAGATAACCTATGAAAAAATCTGGTTCCTCTTGTGGAGTCTCATTCCTCAACAATCAACTATCTGCAAGTCACCAACCCAAAGGGTCAGTATATGACGGCTTGGGAATGTAATCTTAATAATCAACAATTTTTCTTGGCTCTTGGTCGTTTTCGTTCAGGTCCAGTGTATTCTTGTTTTAGGAGCATGAGGAGGAGGAAATCAAGGAAACAAGAAAGACAAAAGAGTGTGAAACCTCTGAACAGAATCATCATTCCTATACATTCTCTCACTGGGATAACTTTTAGTCAATAAAATAATAGAGAAATTAAATATTTTAAATTTTTTCTAGGAACCCCTCAATGACCTCAGGTTGAGAACCACTGCTGTAAAACTCAAACTGCCAGCTGTATTTTTTCTAATAGTTTCATATCAATTTAAACTAACCCTTCATATACAATTAAAATATAAACCCAATTCTGTTTTTAAAAATGTATTTTATTTGATGCAAATGGTCAAAGGTCATTTGTTGTTTGCTGCGAACAACAAAGATGATTTAAAAATGTAATGTTTGTATTTTTTTGTTAAGAAATGGAAATATGTTCAGTACTTGAACACTGAAATGACCCTTTGAAGAAAATAATCTTATCACACTGTTCTCAGAAACTTTGCACATATTTTGCCTTTTTTTAATGTCAGCACACAATAGACTGAAAGAACTGAAATCAGAGAAGCACTTCAGCAAGTTGGTTTTTATTTGATTCTTAAACCGGATCGGGACCCCTCCTCCCAGAAGGCAAAGTTAAAGTTAAATAAGTAAACTGACTTGCAGAATGGCTTTAATCTAAACATGTGTAACATCTAATACAGGGTGAAGATTACAGTTACGTACTGAACACGATTTGAACACAATCTCTTAAAAACAAGCAAGGCAACATTCCTTCTGTAACAGAGTCCGCTCCAGAGGCGACACTGTGGACAGGAAGCTTCCTTCTTTAGGAGCTCTTCTTCTCCTCAAATATGATGTTTGCTGTGGCTCTCTTGGCTGTGGACACACACAAACATAAAAAATGTCAGAAGTCTTGTTTTGTTAACTTGAGTCTGATCTTCTATTCTTCTTCTACTGTCAGCTGACTGTGTATGGTTTCCAATAGGAAGCTTCGGAGGAATCAGACTTTGTGGCCTGGCTGAACTAACGCTATGCTTAATTTGTGTAGTGTTACAGTTGATGTGTGTATTTGTGTGTATACTAGAAAAATAGAATCGCTTAATTATTTATTACAAACAATATAAACAAAAATATTAAGAGCAATAACAAAAATAAAAATATATGATAAAATATATGAATATTATAATTATAATCTTAATTTAAATTTAAAATAAACAATTCAACAGAAATCAAGTTGTTTCTCAGGTTAACTAGTTAACTGGTTGTCCTCAGGTCATTACAGGAGCTGATTCATTTTGCAGCTATAATTTCACATTTGGGCATTTCCCTAAGTAAATATGGCAGTTTATGTTTATGTGTAACAACTGACCCTTCCTTGTTCAGTTAAGCAAGCCTCGGTCAGAACCTCTGTCAACTTCCTCCTTTCCTGTACTTACATATGCTATGTGCTAGGCTAATCTATGTTAACAGAAAACCACATATTGAAGATGGTTAAAAGATAAAAGTGACACATATATACAGTCACATGCGAACATTTAAATACAGCCCAGACTTCCAAGTGTGTAGAGAAACTATGGCGTCAAACATGTTGATGTACTCACCCTCATCTTTGATCTTGTCGGCAGCTTCTGATGCCTTGTCCTTGAGGTTCTTCACCGCGTCGTCAATCTTGGCCTCGTTTTTGAGGAAGAAGGGTCGAATGATGCGGTTATAAATCTGGACTGATCCATTGGAGGCAGTCGGAGCCATGCACCACACCAAGAAGGCACACTGGAGAGAGACAAGAGCTCTCTCATCAAACTAGAACAGACATCACGGTTACATTACAGGCTAAAAAGCCTTCACCTATTCCAGTTCATAAGACAGCAGAGTGTATGCTGAAATAAATCAGACTGTAACAAACAGTGTTTTATTTAAAGCAAAACAACGCTGACATCCTCCCAGTAATAAAGTCTACACACTCAAACCTCCAACCCAATGTGTCTTTCTATCTTTCTAGACTCTGATTGGTTGTTTTTCAACCAATCAGAGTGTTCAGGCCCACCAGAGGCATTTTTTTAGATTATCTTTCTCATGGACTACTGTCAGGGTATAATTAAAGTTTGAACAAATACGACAAAAAGTAATTGTTATTAAAGCTACCTACTGCAGCTTTAAATGCTACGTTCTAATTTGTGCACACAAATTATGAATCAGAGATCACATTAATTTTGCATATAAAACTGCTTTTTCTTGACTCCAGTACAATAGCTGTAGTCTGACAGTGTACCTGTGGTAGTCAGCAGCTGGTTTACAGCAGCATTATATTGTATATCCCTTAAAGCAAACACTACTGGTTGCTGGTGAACCTATGACATAGCTCTCAGCATTCTGCAGTGAACTCCACCCTCAAAATGTTGATTAGTTTATCTGCCAAGAAGAGAGAGCGAGAGAAAAAACACACCTACTCTGGTGAGGTGCCGGCTCCAAGGTAGGTCATCAAAGTCAGGAGGGGAAAGCAGCCCACTCAACTCAGATTCAGTCTTTTTTATTAGTTTTAGGCACAAAGTTAAACCACAGCTACAGCCTCACATAACATCAATGGATTACATATAATGTCTTAGGTTATATGAATACTGTGGGTAGCTTCTTTTTAAAATTCAAAAATGTAAACTTATGGGTCACTTTATCAGCCATGAAAAGCAGGTCATTATTAGTTACCGTACTGGCTGAAAACTGGTAGGCCTTTTGGTGCTATCCATTGGTTTCGTAAATCCCCCGCCTGAGTTGCTCTGACGCGAGAACGTGACGTAATTGCCTGGCTTGTACCATTTATAGCGTTCCATTTGTCTTTGGGCATTACGAGTCGGAAAGAACATGGACGCCACCAGTGCAGCAGCTGTCTTGTTATTGCTTGTGGCTCTTCTAAACAAGCTCAATGTGAAATAATAATGTTTTTCTACAGAAACACTAACATTTCAAGTAATTCCGTTATTACAAGTCTTACATTTCAATAATATTTTGCCTTTTTCGCCTATTTCAATTTCAACAAGTGATGGGGCGTTTCTCTCGAGCCACCAGGGGCCCCCAGGGGCCTCCATGGGCAGTGGCAGGCTAGTGTTATTGTTAGCTACATTAGCCTATTTAGCAAACCAGCTCGAAAACAAAACTTTACATTGTATTGCACGCACAGCAACACTGTGCAATGCATAAATTGGTGACCGGACTAAAGCAGCAATGTAAACAAGTGTGTAAGAGCATTTAAAATCGACATTAAAACGACCAACATGGTACGAATACAAAGAAAATACATCTCAATATTGGCGCTGCCATCTTTGTTTTGCGAGTCGTACGTTCACCCTCGTTTAGCTCGGTGTACTCTGAGGAGCCCCGAGTGGGACGGCAGATATTACGACCAAAAGGGGTGTGTCTCGGTGAAATGTCGCGAGATAGCTGCGAGATTTACACTTTCCAACTCGGGCAGGGGATTTATGAGACAAATGGATAGCACCATTTTGCTACCAACAGGGAACAGGCTCCATTTTTTGAACTGTTCTGAACATTTCAACCAAAATGTTGAAAAATTAAATTTTGTTAGAGACCTGAAAAGTTGGTTCCCAGCTGGAAACAGCAGGTTTTCTTTGGGAACCAATGTAGGAGTGTCATATTCTACAGGTCGTTGTGCATTGTGCAGCGCCCTCTGTTGATGATGCATCCGATTATCATGATGGAAACAAAGCCTGGTTTGCTAGAAAGCACCAAGGTTCCAAGAATCTTGAATGGAACCAGTTCAAGAATCAGAGCTAATTTGGTGGAAAAGGGGCAGGGCTGAAACAGGTACAACAGACCCAAGCTGGATTACCTTTCCAATATAGTAGAATGGGAACCAGGAGAGGAAGATATCAGCAAAAAACTCTGCAACACTGAAGAGTCCATACACCACCCAGTAGGTCAGCCATTTAGTATCATCCTCTTTGGTGGCACTTTCAATGGCCTTTATCCTGGAGAGAGATGGGGACATGTAAGAGATATACTGATATAAAAGGTTAACATTACTCTCACTCTGGTCTAACATGTGGAAGTAAATGGTAAATGGTAAATGGACCTGTACTTGTATAGCACCTTTCTAGTCTTCCGACCACTCAAAGCACTTTTACACTACGTGCCACATTCACCCTTTCATACACATTCACTCAGCGATGGCAAAGTCCATCAAACAAGAAACTAATGCATTCATGCACATTCATACACCGATGCACAGCATCGGGAGCAATTTGGGGTTCAGTATCTTGCTCAAGGATACTTCGACATGGTGGGACGAGCCAGGGATCAAACCAACAACCTTCCAATTGGTGGACGACCCACTCTGCCTCCGGGCCACAGCCACTCTGTGAATAAATAATATGGGGCGGTTTTGATACAATGACCATATGGAGGAGCGCAACCTTTTTGGCCATTTAGGCAACAACCATGCTCATGGGACTGTTTCTGTTGAATCGGCTATCACGTCGATAAAGGTCCAGTGTATGATTGAGTAACACTGAGGAGGATCTATTGTCAGAAATGGAATATAATATTCATAGTTTTCATTAGAGTATAATCACTCAAAAATAAGAAGAAAGAAAAGGAGTTCGGTCTAGACCTACTCTATTTGAAAAGTGTCCTGAGATAACTTCTGTTATGAATTGACACTATACAAATAAAATTGAATTGAATTGAATTGAATCATTGTGTTTTTGTTACCTTAGAATGAGCTGTTTTTATTTACGGAGGAAGTGGGTCCTCTTCTATGGAGTCCACTATGTTGAACTGCCATGTTTCTACAGTAGCCCAGAACAGACAAAACAAACACTGACACTAGGTAGAGGTGTTTGCGTTTTTACAGCCACTGTAATTGGTTGCAATCTGCAACTTCAACATCAAATCCTAAGCACTGGTCCTATTCATTCAGGCCCTGGATCATCCCCAACGGGGATTTTGCTTTAGTTTCCTAAAGTGAGCTTAACTTGCTTCATATAGCCTACTAGTATGTTTCAAAGCTTACAAAATAATAAAATAGTCCTCTAGTAGCTTTTTATAGTTCACTGTCATTAGTAGGTTCTTTAGACATCACAAACAGAAGCTTGGAAGATGTTTCAGAAGAAATGGAGGAAAGGATTATTGTTGCCGTCTGTGGATACCCAGAGAGCAATGATCTACTTCATATTTATAGAGATCGGACCAAAAAAGAGATTGCCTGGAGAAAAGTAAGTGTGGTTGATGATGGACAAAATTGCAGAAAGAAATGTTGTTAATTATGTACATGGAGACCCGCCTCCTCTCCAATTTCGCGGGCTGTATTTATTCGCGCAATAGAAAAAACAGGAATCCTGTGAGTACACTCGCAATAATAATGCGCAGTAATGCAAAGCAAAGCTATGGCTTGCAGTGTGAACGTAGCCTCAGTTACCACAAGCAACGTTCACCTGTTTTGTTTTTGTTCGTATGACATTTGAATGTCTGTAATATCTGCTCTCCTCAGTTTTCTTCTGCAGAATTTAAGCAATAAAACTAAATCAGTGCTATCAATGCTTCTTTCCAATCCACTATTTATCAAAGGATATAGTAAGCAATGATAAGGAAAGCAGAGCTGATAATGTAAGTCCTATCCCTGCCTCTCCCTGCATGATGAAGCTATAACAAGCAGGGTGTAACCGCTGCTCAGGGCAAGTTCCTTTAACACGTAATAACCATTTTCAATATGGGCATCACTGATTAAAATGTAACAAGGGCTCAGATTTGTAAGCAACTTTTCCCATAGAACTTTATGATGCTCCTGTGAAACATGCTCTGCAACCTAGTGTTCTCCACATAATAGTTTCTACATCAAGGCAAGCCTGGGCACCTTACACACAACTGTCCATGGCAAAAAAGCCCTCTGAATTTGAATTTTGGATTATTTTGTCAAACTAAATACCCCAAACTAACTTGCTGGGTTGTTTGCTTTGGTTGCCAGGGAGTGCTGTTAATCAAACCTAAATAACCATATCCACAAAGTTCTGAATATTTAATTTCTAAACTTTGAGTATTCTTTTTAGTTTGAATATGTATATAAGAAATATGCACATATTGTGTACCCTATGTGTTAATGTTAACCCTAATTGATTTTAATAAATTATATAATTAAAGCCATTTATAAAGAAAAAATACCAAATATATGCTAGATGTGGGACAAGAAAAGCAATTTTAACATTTTGAACAATTACTATATTTTTGTAGACTAAATGATTACCAATAAAATGTATAATTTTAAAGCCCCCCTCCAGTTGTGTTTCTTCTTGTTCTTACAGTGTGATGTTTGAATGATGTATGTGCAGAGTTTGACACTAGAAGAATGTTTTCACATTCATCTGCTGAAAGTGGAAAGTTTCACCGTGCTCATTGAAATTCTGACTTTAAGGGGCGGGGCCTATCAGCATGATTAGTGACATCACAAATAGTTTGGAAGTCAACCCTGGTTTGTTACTTCTAGGCTGGATTACTGCAATTCCTTATTATCAGGTTGCCCCAATAAGTCCATTAAGACCCTACAATTAATTCAGAATGCTGCAGCACGAGTACTGACAGGAACTAGAAAAAGAGATCACATCTCTCCTGTACTAGCTTCTCTGCACTGGCTCCCTGTAAAATGTAGAATAGAATTTAAAATCCTCCTCCTCACCTACAAAGCTCTTCATGGTCAGGCCCCTTCATATCTTCTATTACCCCACTAGAACACTACGTTCTCTGAATGCTGGGCTACTTGTGGTTCCTATAGTCTCTAAAAGTAGAACAGGAGCCAGAGCCTTCAGTTACCAAGCTCCTCTCCTGTGGAACCAGCTTCCAGTTCAATTCAAGAGTAGGCTTAAGACATTCCTCTTTGATAAAGCTTATAGTTAGGGCTGGATCAGGTGAGTCCTGAACCATCCCTTAGTTATGCTGCTATAGGCCTAGACTATCTGGGGATTTCCCATGATGCACTGAGCTCCTCTCTTCCTCTCTCTCTCTTTCTGCACTCATTCATGTCCCATTAATGCATGTTACTAACTCCACTTCTTCCCTGGGGTTCTTGTGCTTTCTTGTTTCGCAGGTTCTCATGGATCCTGGTGGAGCCTCCTGCCATGGTTCTGCTTGACTGCCATTGCTAATATCACTGATATTATTGTTATTATTAATATTATTATTATTAATATTACTACAGATACTATTATTACTATAATCACTGCTCATTGTCCCCCATTGTGTTGTTGTCGTCATCTTCTTGATTCATCAGTCATGATTTGGCGCTATACAAATAAAACTGAATTTCAATTTCAATTCAATTCAATTCAATTTTATTTGTATAGTGCCAATTCATAACAGAAGTTATCTCAGGACACTTTTCAAATAGAGCAGGTCTAGACCGAACTCTTTAAAACATTATTTACAGAGACCCAACAGTACCACCATGAGCAAGCACTTGGCGACAAGGGCAAGGAAAAACTGCCTGTTAAAAGGCAGAAATTTAAGAATTGAATTGAATTGAATTGAATCTTGTATTCAGCTTTAATCTAGCTTTTTAATAAGGTAGAAGGAAGATATGCTGATATGATAAAAAAAACATATCAGACACACATTATTGTTCCAAGCAGACTATTTGAATGTATGTCTTAATACATGTCTGGAGGGGATCTTTAACATGTGAAACTACATTTTCAGATGATTTGTGTACCCATTCTGTAAGTGCCACATCATTTCTGAAACACAATCACCATGACAGCACAAATACGGAAGGAAACAGATTGCTTGTGGTTACTGACACTATCAGAGTGTCTTTCTTCAGTGTTCTTTTCTTTTTATCTGAGATCATACCTCAGTTATTTTATTTTTTTTTAAGACAACAAATGGTGCTCATATTCACATTTTTAACTTAACGTCCCTAAATAATGATCAGATATTAAATGTTCTATTTTTGTTATCACAGTATCAGATGCTTATTAGCTGAGAATAATCCCGCTCATTAATCGGTCTCATCATGGAGTTATTCCTCATAGCCTTGAGACACAGAGACACAGAGACTTCCTGGAAGAAAACAGCCAATGACATTATATACTACGTTGACTTCAAGGAGCATCAGTCACTGCTGTTTTTACATCATGATAACAGTGTTAAACATAATTAAACAGTTTTCTCTGTTTAAGTCATAACATGAATATGAGATCTGCAAAAAAAATGGGGTGGAAAATCAAGTCATGATCAGAAGATTAGCTGAGGGAAACTCTGTTGAGTTCATAGATGAGGATCAGTATACCAGTAATGAGTGCTACTACTGTGCAAAACAGTTGTATAATGTCTTGTTTGGCTGTTGAGGAGCGTTATTAGGTCTGATAGTAAGTGGCTGTAATAGAGGAAAAATAAGCCAAAATATAATAATAATAATAATAACAACAACAACAATAACAATATTTTAAACCAACAGGTTAGTTGACTGTGTGTGTGTGTGTGTGTGTGTGTGTGTGTGATGTCTCTGTGTGTGTGTCTCTGTGTGTGTGTGTCTGTGTGTGTTAGGTGGTGGTGCTCTGGGCAGGGCAGGCCCCATCCTGCTCTAAGAATAATACACTTACGATATGTATGCTGGGTACAGAAAGCCGATGAGGTTACACAGTAGGGAGGCTCCGTAACCGATCACCAAGTAGACTGCGATGATACCGGCGACAGCTGGAACAAAGGACACCATATGTTTGTCACGCCTTTAGTCACAAATCCACTTCCTATCGAACACATTACATTGCCCTGCTACTTACAATAAATATGTACAGCTGATAGTGACTACAGCACTGATTAAAGGCATACGTCACCTCTTCAGTTCAAAGTAAACGCAGCTTCCTCTGCCACGCTAACTCCCACCTCTATACCTCTCTTGTCACACACCCGCTGTTTCCTCTTTTTTCATCCCCGTCGCTGTCAACACTCACCCAGAGCGAGGTACGTCCTGCTCACTCCGGTTCTGGCCTCGACTTTGGCCAGAACATCTGTCATGAGGTTCTTTTCATGGAGAAACTTTTCGAATCTTTCCTTAAGTCCCTGGGCCATGGCTGCACTTCCTTCTTCAGAGATGCTGATGAATTACGAAATTGTTCTGAATCAAACTGCGACACCCCTGCAACCCAACACAACACTGTTCATGCAGGCGTCAAGTAAGACAGGGTGTGCAACACAGCTTCCGGCCACAGGCTTCAAAATAAAAGCAAGCAAGTTTATTTAAAGATCCACGTATCAAGACATAATACAAATATTCTGCTTGGGACAATAATGTGTGTCTGATATATTTTTTTCCCGAAAAGAAATATAATTTACAAATTAAAATCCCTTAAAAGGATCATCTACTCCTTCTACCTCATTAAAAATTCCTACTTCACTGTAAAGTCCATTCTCTATGGAAGCCCATTTCTGCCAGTGTGACAGGGAAAAATAATGACTTAGTGTTTCAAAATAATGAGAAACGTTCTCAGTATTTATTAAAGTATCACAAAGTCATTATTTTGAGGTGCTATGTCAATGAGCACAGAGAAACTTTCCACTTTCAGCAGATGAGTGTGAAAACATCCTTCTAGTGTCAAACTCAAACAAATCTTTGGCTGGAGGGGGCTTTAAAGTTATATTTTAGCGGTAATCATTTAGTTAACAAATATACAGACATTATTAAAAATCTTACAGTCGCTTTCCTAGTCCCACATCTAGCAAATATTAAACCTAATAAATGGCTTAAATTATATCATTTATTAAGATTAATTAAATGTAAAAAATAGGGTACACAATATATACATAATTATTATCAATGAAGTGTTTTGTCCCTAATATTTGAGTTGAGTTTCAAAATTTCAACAGCAAGCTGCAAGATGTTTTTGGAAGGTGCTGTTTAATAATTGTTGATTAATTGCAATTTCAATTAACATTTTGGACCAGTCACCGATCAAATGTGCATCCTCACTAGTATCAATTAATACCAGTTGTAACACCAAGGTAAATAAAATATATTTTCATATTTAGTAGCAGCCATGTACAAGTGAGTTTTTACACTTACTGTGAAGGTACGGATGGAAGTAACTGTATTCTCATACAGATCCAGTAACTGCCTTCAACTTGATGCAGCTGGTGCTCAACATTTAGTGGACAGACTTTCCCCTCACCTCAGTCTTACAGGCATTGCACACTCCCAGACTGTGTACACTTGCAAAAAGCTCTACCTATCAAATCCTTGAGGTTATGGGTTGTTGAGGTTAGACATAGGTCATGGTCAGGTTAGGTGGTGTCAGAGCTGCTGAAGAACTGGCTGTGTAGATTAGAGGAATATCTCCTGAGAGAATAAAGTCAGGGCACACAAAATGTGATATTGACACTGAGCACTCTGCAGCCACACCCTTCCTTGCTTTGATGACATTGCAAAATACAATTGCTGGAATATAATGCAGTTATTTCAAACATGCTATGTAGCGTGGTGTGGTACAGGCATCACATTAAATCATATATAATCATGCATTACATTACATTAAATTGCAACTATAATTTATTGTACATTACTGCTGTATTGATTAGACAGATTTATCTTTGGGCTAATAAGATGTTGTTACCACCAGACTATTTTAGTAGGTTGAGATCTTAAAGGTTAGAGGAACCAATAAAGGTATTTCACTATACCAGGATACAAGCAGTAGCTATGTCACGGTGAACAGGAGCCCACAGAACAGGGTTTTCCACTTCAGTCTATATTTGAAACATCTTAGCTGGTAGGAAATCACTTATAGTAGATTTGTAACTTGATGGCTTTTCTTCTGACACAAAGCAGGAGCCCACCAGGGTCGCCACACCCTCATGGTTCTTCATGTTTTTGAAAACTTTGCCAAAACTGCTTTGTGCTGCAGAAAAAAATTATTTCTCCTGAATCTATGAAATTATCTTTGCATAGTTAGTATGTGTGTTTCTGTCTATGGGTTTATAAGACTGGAAGTCGCTGCATAAAGTTGTAAAACATGGATGCAAAACTGAATTTGCTTACTATGTACACCACAAACAGGTTTTATACAAGCTGCAACTTCTGTGGCTGTAAATTAAGCCAACGTGGAACTTAGAAAAGCTGCACTTCCTCTAACGGCCACTGAAGGCTGGCTACAGGAGTGAGTCAATCTCCATAAGGCCCCATATTAAAATGCCCATACAGCAGAAATAAAAATGTTCACAGGGTGGTACAAAAATGCTTTTGGTCTCTAATTTGGTCAGCTAATTCCCCGTTCATGACAACTGTATGGAGGGTGACGTTTTATATAACTCACCCGATTAAATTATATACTGTCACACTGTTTTCAGTAACTTAAGGTTATGAATATAACCCCTGTTGTCTGATTAACGTGAGTGAGTGTCTCACTATGGGAACGCCTCCTGTGTGACCTCATCAGAAGCTCAAATAACACTACAATGGCACTAGTGATGTCTATGTCAGGAGGAGGTGGGACCCTCCTCCTATATAATAGACCAGGCCAGACATCCCTGTAAAGAAGACAACTGTCCCCAGTATCACTTCACAAGGGAGTAGCCAGCTCTGAGAAGAGCCCACACTGAGGACTTGATGTGCCAGAGTTGGAGCCATGACATCTTACCTGTAAAATCTAGCAAATGTGTTGGGCGAGGCCCAGCATGCAGCTGCATACATCTTTTAAATGAAAACTCCTTCAAAGAGAGCCCATGATAATGCTAGACCCCTGGTGGAATGTGCACAGAGACCAGTGGGAGGCTGGATATTCATACATCCTACTTATGCTCATATAACGTCAAAGTTGAAGGGGCCTGGCACACTGAACAGTGTCAGTATAGGGTGAATCCATAGGATTGATCAGCTAAATGAGTCAAGTCAGTATACGTTTTTGAATTGTCAGGGGATGCAGACTGTAACCTGTTAATAAAAGATGAGTGGTTGCCAATATAAAAAGAACTTGTCAACAGATACTCTGGTTGTGAATTAGATTTTTAAAAGTAAGGGAGACGCACACAACAAAGCCAATTAACATATGATTTATTAAGGAAAATAATTAAACTAAACTAACTGTAGTATGTAAAATCAGTGGGATCAGTGGTGTAGGTGAGTGCATGAGTGGAGAAGTATATGAGTGCTGTGTTTTTGTATGTGTTTTTGTATGTGTGTTTTTATATATATATTTATATTTATGTTCTTAATATATGTTGTTTGTATATCTGGAGTTTGTAACGGTCAGACAGCTGCATGTGAGAAAACCACGAATTACTGTAGACTACTAAATCATCTAAATAAACCGTGCAGTCCGCCAGTCCAGCTACAACACAATTCATTTGACGTTGAAAAGTGGCAAGTGCATTCCTTTAAACCAAATGGCATCACTTTATACGAATACAACCCAGATGGAGTAATAAACAATGCTACTTCCCGTGCTCTTCTGGACAAGGGTACTTGCCAGTAACCCTTGAGAAGATCAAATTTGCTGACATACTTAGCAGCTCCAACCTGGTCTACACTGTCCTCCATATGAGGCAATGGAAACTAATCTGACTTTGTGACCTTGTTGACCTTTTGAAAATCTGAACAAAATCTAGGTGTGTTGTCACTTTTAGGCACTAATAAACATGGAGAAGCACAGCTTGATGAGAACGGCACTGCGATGTCATTTGCAACCATATATTCTACCTCAGCATCTAAATATTTATGCTTCTATCATATCTTAAAGAGCTCATAGTACCCTATTACCCCTCTAGAACACTATGTTCTCTGAATGCAGGGCTACTTGTGGTTCCTATAGTCTCTAAAAGTAGAACAGGAGCCAGAGCCTTCAGTTACCAAGCTCCTCTCCTGTGGAACCAGTTCCAGTTGTGGTTCGGGAGGCAGACACCATCTCCACATTTAAGAGTAGGCTTAAGACATTCCTCTTTGATAAAGCTTATAGTTAGGGTTGGATCAGGTGAGTCCTGAACCATCCCTTAGTTATGCTGCTATAGGCCTAGACTATCGGGGGATTTCCCATGGTGCAATGAGCTCCTCTCTTCCTCTCTCTTTCTGCACTCATTCATGTCCCATTAATGCATGTTACTAACTTCACTTCTTCCCCGGAGTTCTTGTGCTTTCTCGTCTCGCAGGTTCTCATGGATCCTGGTGGAGCCTCCTGCCATGGTCCTGCTTGACTGCCATTGCTAATATCACTGATATTATTGTTATTATTATTAATATTATTATTGCTACAGTTACTATTATTACTATTGTCACTACTCATTATCCCCCATCGTTGCTGTTGTCGTTGTCATCGTCTTCTTCATGTTCATCATCATCAGTCACTACTATTGGTGTAGTTGTTGCTACTGTTGTTGCTGTGCACCTGTCTGTCTGTCTGTCTCTGTCTCTCTCACTCTCTCTCTCTCTCTCTCTCTCTCTCTCTCTCTCTCTCTCTCTCTCTCTCTCTCAACTGGTCGAGGCAGACGACCACCCACCTAGAGCCAAAGGGTCTGTCCTAGGTTTCTGCCTCTTAACAGGCAGTTTTTCCTTGCCCCGTCACCAAGTGCTTGCTCATGGTGGTACTGTTGGGTCTCTGTAAATGTTATAAGGAGTTCGGTCTAGACCTGCTCCATTTGAAAAGTGTCCTGAGATAACTTCTGTTATGAATTGGCGCTATACAAATAAAATTTTATTGAATTGAAATTGAATTGATTTGAAATTGAATTGAATTGACCATGAAGAGCTTGGTAGGTGAGGAGGAGGATTTTAAATTCTATTCTACATTTTACAGGGAGCCAGTGCAGGGAGGCTAGTACAGGAGAGATGTGATCTCTTTTCCTAGTTCCTGTCAGTACTTGTGCTGCAGCATTCTGAATTAATTTGAGCGTTTTAATGGACTTATTGGGGCAGCCTGATAATAAAGAGTTGCAGTAATCCAGCCTAGAAGTAACAAATGCATTGATTCGTTTTTCTGCATCTGTCTGTGATAGGATGTGTCTAATTTTTGTAATATTACGTAAATTATATAAGGCATTCCTAGAGGTCTGCTTTATGTGGGAATTAATTAATAATTAAATGACATGTCCTGATCAAAGATAACTCCAAGATTCCTGACAGTGGTGCTAGAGGCCAAGGTAATGCCATCTAGAGTAGCTATATCTTTAGACAGTGAGTCTCTGAATTTCA